CTTAAACATGTGTGTTATTTGACTTGATCTCGCTTGATCGTTAGCAGCAGCCGCTCGGCTAACGTCTTGCGTGTACTGTTAAGCTTCTTTATTTTACCCAGCTAGGTGAAGGCAGTGCTCTCGCTCCCGCTCCCTCTACCGGTAATGCGGATGTAGCTACATCCCTTTTTCTGTTCGGTGAGTAGTAGCACCGCTCTACTCTTCCCGTTCAGCAGGTAGCTGGTGAAGGCTGTGTTCCCGCACCCGCTCCCGGTTACGTTGCATCTGGCATTCGTCTCTAACTCAACCAGTGAAGGCAGTGTTCTCGCCCCCGCTCCTGGTAGACGCTGAACTGCCTCGCTTTTCCGTTAAGCAGGTAGCCGGTGAAGGCTGTGTTCCCGCACCCGCTCCCGGTTACGCTGCATCTGGCATTCGTCTCTAACTCAACCAGTGAAGGCAGTGTTCTCGCCCCCGCTCCTGGTAGACGCTGAACTGCCTCGTTTTTCCGTTAAGCAGGTAGCTGGTGAAGGCTGTGTTCCCGCACCCGCTCCCGGTTACGCTGCATCTGACATTCGTCTCAAACTCAACCAGTGAAGGCAGTTTTCGCCCCCGCTCCTGGTAGACGCCAAACTGCCTCGTTTTTCCGTTAAGCAGGTAGCCGGTGAAGGCTGTGTTCCCGCACCCGCTCCCGGTTACGCTGCATCTGGCATTCGTCTCTAACTCAACCAGGGAAGGCAGTGTTCTCGCCCCCGCTCCTGGTAGACGCGGAACTGCCTTGTTTCTCCATTAAGCAGGTAGCTGGTGAAGGCTGTGTTCCCGCACCCGGTCCCGGTTATGCTGCATCTGGCATTCGTCTCTAACTCAACCAGTGAAGGCAGTGTTCTCGCCCCCGCTCCTGGTAGGCGGTGAACTGCCTTGTCTTTCCGTTAAGCAGGTAGCTGGTGAAGGCTGTGTTCCCGCACCCGCTCCCGGTTACGCTGCATCTGGCATTCGTCTCTAACTCAACCAGTGAAGGTAGTGTTCTCGCCCCCGCTCCTGGTAGACGCGGAACTGCCCTGTTTTTCAGTTAAGCAGGTAGCTGGTGAAGGCTGTGTTCCCGCACCCGCTCCCGGTTATGCTGCATCTGGCATTCGTCTCTAACTCAGCCGGCAGTGTTCTCGCCCCCGCTCCTGGTAGACGCTGAACTGCCGTGTTTATTAATCCAGCCAGGTGAAGGCAGTGCTCTCACTCCCGCTCCCTCTGCCGGTAACGTGGGTGTAATTACATCCCTCTTTCTGTTCGGCGAGTAGCAGCAATGCTCTACTCTTTCCATTAAGCAGGTAGCTGGTGAAGGCTGTGTTCCCGCACCCGCTCCCGGCTACGCTGCATCTGGCTACCTACAGAATGGCTCATTCATGTAGCGCCTGTATGGCTTATTTTGAGCCCGAGGACGGCCACGACCGCTGCCCCTCCTGCCTCGGCCGCCTCTGGCGGTCAGTGGGGACGAAATGTGAGCATCTGAGGGAGGTTCTCACGGTAAACGCCTGCATGAGCTGTAGCTGCATGCCTCGGGCGCTCAGAGTGGCTAGAATCACTGAGGTGGAACGTCTGGCAGCAGCCAACAGACACCTCTCCTTGTCACATCCTCCTCCAGATCAATTCGGCCGTTCCCGGCGATTTGAGGGAGCGATGGCTATGTGTGCTCCCCCCAATAGAAGGACTAGAAACAGGCTGTCCTCTAAAGTGGATCGGCTAGCTGCCGATAGGGGCATGATGAAGTCGCCTCTTGGCCCTTCAGCCTGGGCCCGGTGTAGGGGCTGCTAGCGGGCCGCCTGTCCCCCCCCCCCCCCCTTCGGTTGACGCACCTCCTTCGGCTGACGCACCTCCTTCGGTTGACGCACCTCTGTATGAGGACGCCTTGTCGCTGGTACAGACTCGTCGCCAGGTTTCGCTGGACCAGTCACCACTAACGGAGGCATGTAGGAGAGTCCTCCGTAGCATACCAGTCGAGCCAGGGGAGCTGTTTAGGTCAGCTGCCCTGGAGGCACTGGAGCGTGCCGCCCAAGCTAGGCAGACCAGGCAGCAGCTCTCGGGTCTTCGCAGACCTGTGCCCACTCCCAGCAGGCCCAGGGGCCGCTCTAGCAGCCGCACTCAGCCGCCGGATTACAGGGGTGGTCTGCAGAGGTCTTAGCGGCGCGACCCAATGACTTTCGTGCCCCAGGTCGCCCGCCTTCCAGGCGGCCTCGTGCCCCAGAGCCTTACCGGCGCCCCCCAAGAGGCTCCAGGGGCCGGGGGGCTGGGCCCTGAAATCCCGGGGGCGGTCGCTGGCTGCTTTTCCAGCAGCAGCTCAGTTACTGGGCGGTCTGTACTTCCGTCCCTTGGGTGGTTTTCACCTTAACTCAGGGGTACGGACCGCAGCTGCGGCCCCTAGCCTTCGGCTGGGTCTAATTGACAGTCGTCATCGATCCGGCAGGGGCCCTAGCTCTGGCCCAAGAGTTGTCCGTCCTTCTGTCCAAGGACGCAATCAAGCCAGTAAGACCCTCTGCTTAGCCCAGGGGGTTCTACTCGGCTTACTTTCTCGTGAGCAAGAAAGTCGGCAGATTTCACCCGATCTTGGACCTCAGAGGAATCAACAGATTCCCGAAGGTGCTGCCATTCTATATGCTCACCACTGCATATGCACAGGTGGAGTGGTTCTCAACCGTGGACTTGAGGGATGCCTACTTCCACGTGGGCCGGGCAAGATGGTGCCTTATATTCAGTTCCTCCGGCCCTTGGGCAGACTGGCAGCTGCCTCGGCCGCTGGGCCCTTAGGCCCGCTGTCGTTGCGCCCCATGCAGATGTGGCTGAACAGCCTTCACTTGGACGCCAAGTGGCACAGGCACAGGGAAGTCAGGGTGTCGCAGCATTGCCTCCACTCTCTGTCACGCTGGAGGGGCAGGGCCTATCTCCTAGTGGGCGTGCCCATGGGTGCCATCCCATCCCGCCAGGAGACCATCACCATAGGTGCATGTCTCTCAGGGTGGGGTGCAGTGCGGCAGGGCAGGACCGTTCAGGGTCAGCGGTCTGCCCAGGAGAGTGCGCGCCAGGTCAACGTGCTAGAGCTTCGGGCTGTGCAGCTTGCACTCACGCACTTTCTACCCCAACTGGGGGGCAAGAATGTGCGTGTTCCTTGGGGACAGCATGTACGTTGTTGCTTAGACAACAGTCCCTTCTAGATAGTGGACGTTCTCACTCCACTCTGAATTTATGTGGCTGCGATTTCTGCCCGACATGTTCGGATCGACGGCGCCACGGCGGGGTGCCACAGGTCGGTGTCCCTCTTTATGAGAGGGGCTTTACGGCAGCGTCCCCCTAGCACCCCGAGGGCTCCGGCTTGGGACCTGCCCCTGCTGCCGGATGCCCTATCATCTCCTCCCTTCGAGCCCCTGGCCCAGGTGGGGCTTAGGTGGCTGCCCACGAAGGCAGTATTTCTGCTTGCCATAGCCTCAGGGAAGCGAGTCGGGGAGTTGCATGACCTCTCCATATACAATACATGCCCGAGGTGGGACTCTCAGGCGTTGCCCTTTGGGCAAATGTGGCATTCCTGCCCGGGGTCCTTCCACAAACTCACTTCAATCAGCCTGCCCAGCTGGCACGCTTTGACATTCAGGAGTACGGCACGTCGAAGTTGCTGTGCCCTGGGGGTGCCCAAAGGGCGTATATCAAGGCTACTGCCTGTATACGGCAGTAGGAGCAACTCTTGATTTTGCCCTGGCGGCACTAAAAGAGGTTATGTCCTCTAACCAGTGGCTGCCCCACTGGGTTGTCGATACCATCTCACAGGCTTACGGGGCCAGTGGCCGCCCCCTGCCATCAGGCTGAGATGCCACTCTACAAGGAGCATCTCAACATCTTGGGCTGCCCTGAGGGTGGTGCCCCTGGAGACCATCTGCGCCGCAGCGTCGTGGGCGTCTTCTGGCACATTCTCCAGTTGTCATCAGGTCAATGTCGCCACTCCCCATTCTTTGGGCGTGGTCCTTTTGCCGAGCTCCGCTGTTTCCAGTGGTGAGCAAGGGCTTGGATTCTTCATGACATTGTTGGTATAAGTCATCCAGTGCTTAAAGCACCGCCTCTGGCGGTCAGTAGGGACGAAATAGAACGATAGTTACGGCTGTAACTACGGTTCTATGAGTCCCGGATGACCGCCAGAGTTCCCTGTCACTCAGAATTCTTGTGTGCTCGCGAGAAGATTCTGGGAACAGATCCTCTGACGACACCGGCTAATATAGCCGGTGTCACGTGGGTCACAGGTGACTTTGTTGTTATTGGTACTCGAGCTGCGCATGCGAGCGATGGACATATCCAGTGCTTAAAGCACCGCCTCTGGCGGTCATCCGGGACTCATAGAACCGTAGTTACAGCCGTAACTATCGTTTCTCTTTATATATTTCCAAGTGAACCTGGAGATTTGTTTTTCTCCACCTGCGTTCAGCTTTTCTGCACTCAGTTTTTGCTGTTCTCACAGTCATGGCTTTTCTCCATGGAGATATTTTCTTGCCAGATACTTCCTTTATTTTAATGGGAGTGATGGTATCCATGACATTTGTTATTTTAGAATTAAAATGATCAACTAGCTCATTTACTGAGAAGTTAGCATGGGCAATTGAGAGAGTAAAAATCTGGGCACACATTTCCTCTGCATTTTCAGTTAAGTGACGTCTAGTGGTTACCTCTTTCTTAACAGTTGTATGGACGGTAATAGAGCTCTCAAAGAAAACACAGGAATGGTCGGAGAGCGCTACATCAGTCACCACAAGCTTAGAGATGTTCAGACCCTTTGATACAATTAAGTCCAGGGTGTGCCCCTTATTGTGCGTAGGACCCTTGACATGCTGAGTCAGTCCAAAATTGTCGATAACACAAAACAGTTCTTTAGCCCCTCTGCCCTCAGGGTTGTCAACATGGATATTAAAATCGCCAACAATGATTAAACGGTCAAAGTCAATAGACAATTCCTAGACTTCCACAACCTGAACCCTCTCCTCCTTCTCCTCCCTCAGGGCAGGCAGGCCTTGCTGTGGCTGCTGGCTGTGTATGGGGAGCGGGTCTCCAGCGCCCCCTACACGCTGGAGGTGTTCATTGATGGAGTGAGGAGCGAGACGTCTGTGGGAGTCAAGATGGAGCTGCTGACCACCACCATGAGGCTGTTTCTGTGCCGGCCTGCTGAGACGCAAGACATGCTGGGAAGACTGTTGCACTACTGCATAGGTAGGTGTGTGTGTGTGTGTGTGTGTGTGTGTGTGTGTGTGTGTGTGTGTGTGTGTGTGTGTGTGTGTGTGTGGTGTGTGTGTGTGTGTTGTGTGTGTGTGTGTGTGTGTGTGTGTGTGTGTGTGTGTGTGTGTGTGTGTGTGTGTGTGTGGTGTGTGTGTGTGTGTGTGTGTGTAGTGTGTGTGTGTGTGTGTGTGTGTGTGTGTGTGTGTGTGTGTGTGTGTGTGTGTGTGGTGTGTGTGTGTGTGTGTGTGGTGTGTGTGTGTGTGTGTGTGTGTGTGTGTGTGTGTGTGTGTGTGTGTGTGTGTGTGTGTGTGTGTGTGTGTGTGTGTGTGTGTGTGTGTGTGTGTGTGTGTGTTCTGGCTCTGACCATTGCCGACACCCTGTTGTGTTTTCCAGAGGAGGAGACGGACATGTGCGTGCGTGACCAAGGGCTTCTCTACTACCGCTGTTGCCATCGTGGGATAGAAGAGACACAAAAGGTCCTCCAGGGACGGAGGTCAGACCCTTCCCTGGGTGTTCTGATTGGCCGCCCTGCGGAGCCCGTCAGCCAGTGGGCGTGCAGCTTTAACACTCTGGACCCTCTGAAGCAGGGCCCTGTGGAGACAGAGCCCCCCAGCAGAGGAAGCCCTGAACATGTGACCTTTGACCCCAAGCCTAACACCGACCTCTCAGAAACACTGGACTGTAGTCAGATTGTGAAGCTTCATTCAGGTGAGCGAACACATTCAGATGCTCTGTTAGGGATGTTAAAGAACTGAACTTTGGAACCAAGTGGATGATAACATTTTGAAAACATGATTTTCAATTTAGCTGGGGGGTCGAGACCGGGCCCGGCGCCACGAGGGGGCAAAAGGGGGCATTGCCCCCTCAGTTGTATTCTTTGCCCCCTCACTTTGAACATCATTCATCCATCGAAAATTATATTAAATAACTTTAAATAATTATTTTCCCCAACACACGTTACTATGTCTAGATCAGATATGTGGGCAGGCAGTCAAGCAATGTATAAAAAAGCCTCAACCCCAAGTGAGCTTGTGGTCTTAATTAATGTTAGCGTGTGTGCTTAGCTGTAAACACAGTCGGATAGGTGACCAAAACTTCCCGTTTTCCGGGCAAAGTCCCCTTTTTCGGTAGCCGGTACCCGGTTGAAACTCCCGAAAATGTTCCCGTTTTTGAATGTGCATTAAAAAACATAGAGCAAGGTGAAATAAAATGTTACATGTCACTAAAAACAGAGTAACAGTGTTGTGCCTGTTTGTAGCGTTAGCGTATTTCTTCTTCTACTACTTATTTTTCTTCTACCGCTACTTCTTCTTTTTCTACCTCTACTTCTTCTTCTTCTTCTTCTACCTCTACTTCTTCGGCCCAATCCCAAACTGCCCCCTACACCCGCCCCCTACACCCTACCCCTCCGTTTGCGCATTCGCGCGGAGGGTCCGCCACATTAAGTGCTGTTCCAAACCAACGAGTGTGGAGCGGTGTGGAGGGGGAGTGGGCTATCAACGCTGTGTGTGTCCGTCAGGAAACACGCTGTTTACAAGTAGTTCCAGCAAACATCCACTGATAAATTGCGATGTTAACAACCTCATTAACCACCTTATATTTTTTTAACTTAGGATCATACCTGTGTTTAGTCTAGAAAAAGGTAAATGTGTGCATTTTATTATAAAGTTGTGTATATTTACAGACTGTTGCAAACACTAAGAAGCTTATAAACATCAGGTTTAAAACTAAAAGAGCTTTACAAAAAAGTAACACAATTAAAGATGTTGATGATAAAGAAAGTCGGCTAGTAGTGTCAACTAAATCCATAGTATTACAACAAAAGTGCTTTAAACGAGGTAAATTACGAATGTATGTTCTCAATCGCCAAGTACGGGATTGAATATTAAATTAGTTTGCATTAGATTTATTGTCCCCAGGGGGAAATTCATGTTCACAGCACTGTGAAAACAATATGAAATCGACAAAAAATAAGACAGACATCTACAGATCAGGGTTTCCGCTAGGATTTTTTCTTGCCGGTCAAATGTCCGGACAGAATTTATTTTACCGGACAAATTTGAAACTTACCGGTCATGTTTCAATAATAATAATAAGAATTGTGTAGCAGAGTTTCCGTTAGCAGGTAATTACCGGACTAGGACCGGATATGCTGATGTTTAAAACTCAGTTAATGGGAGTCATTTTTATATTGCTTTAGTTTATAATCGTAACAGATCGAAAAATTCAGATTCATTTTTCAATAAATGATTCCACAAACAACAAACAACATAATTATTACATTCAAACAAACTACTTGTAGTAGATGAAGAGTACATTATTCAAAAGTTTAAATTAACTTTGAATAATAACACGGGAGAAACGGATCCTCTTTTTTCCTCTCTCCCTCTCTCTCCTGACAGCCCGTCAGTTTCTCATGCAGCGCGCTAAACAGTGGGCGGGGCTTCAGGTGATTATGCAGCAGCTGATCCGATCTCTCTCTCGCGTCCGGTTACACCTCACTCGCGTTTATGTCCATATCGATCAGATCCAGCTCTCCTGATCGGCCTTTATAGAGAGCACAGATCAAACTATTAAGAGTGAATATCGGCCGATAATGATTGGCGGCCAATCGATCGGAGCATCGGACATTTTGACCGGCAGGTTTTGAATTTACCGGTTTTTATTAAATGTTACCAGCTAAAAACCGGTAATTACCGGCTAACGGAAACCCTGCTACAGATAGCACCACACATGATGGTTACTTGTTATTATTTAGGGCTGCCTGTATGGATCAGGTTTTTGCCAAAGCGAGCCATTTTACTATAATAATAATAATATGTTATGTATTATATAATTGGTACAATGAGCGACATCTAGTGACGGATTTTGGAACATCCATCCATCCATCTTCTCCCGCTTATCCGTGGTCGGGTCGCGGGGGTAGCAGTTCCAGCAGAGAGCCCCAAACTTTCTTTTCCCTGGCGACATCAACCAGCTCTGACTGGGGGATCCCAAGGCGCTCCCAGGCCAGCGAAGAGATATAATCCCTCCACCTGGTCCTAGGTCTACCCCTTGGTCTCTTCCCAGCTGGACGTGCCTGGAACACCTCCCTAGGGAGGCGCCCAGGTGGCATCCTAACTAGGTGTCCGAACCACCTCAACTGGCTCCTTTCGACGCGAAGGAGGAGCGGCTCAACTCCGAGTCCCTCCCGGATGACCGAACTTCTCACCTTATCCCTAAGGGAGACACCAGCCACCCTGCGGAGAAAACCCATCTCGGCCGCTTGTATCCGCGTATATTTTGGAACATTGATTTGATTTTCTCATGGCAGTTAGACTCTAGAGACAAACCGGTGGACTTTATGTTTAATCTGTGTCTGCCCATTTTGTGTAGTATTTTATCCAATATTACATCTGGTTTATATATTAGTCACTTTGTTATGAAATGCCAGATTTTATGCCTTGGTTTGAACATTCAATCCTGAAAATAAAAAATCATCCAGATTAATGTTTCTTTAATCCTGACCTGACTAGAGGTAAGTAAATCTGTATAGGAAGACGAGTTAAGGGATAGAGGAGAAAAGGTTATGGTATAATTACAGATGTTAGTCCGTTAACCAAAGTGCAGCCATCTGATAATGTACTATCTATTATTAAAGATCAGAGGAAAACAACAGAATGAGAGGGGTAAATCCGGAATACCAATAAAGAAGCAAAGAGATTGTAGAGCAGTGAGAAGGAAAAAAGCTTGGTGTGTGAATTAATTACATTGCCAGTATTTTTCGTTGTTGTGAAAAAAAAATCGCCCCCTCTGATTTTTTAACAGCCCCCTCAGTCATTTCATCCTGGAGCCGGGCCTGGTCGAGACTAATGTAACATTGTGGTCCCAGACACAACATCAAATTAGTCTGCAACAAACAGATCCTCATGGGACATTTTAGATTTTGTATGCAAGTTCAAACAGATCCCAGTGCTGATGTTTCCGAAATAATGCAGCAAGACAAGGCAAGGCAAGGCACATTTATTTATATAGCACCTTTCAACACAAGGCAATTCAAAGTGCTTTACAAAAGTGAAAGATATTAAAGGTCCCATGTCATGGCCATTTCTACTGATCATAATTCCATTGTTGAGGTCTACTAAAATAGATGTATACTGTGCAATTTTCCAAACTCACATTGGTTTCTCATACAGCATCTCTGTAAAGTATGTGTATTCACTCTCTGTCCTAAACGGCTTGTTGGAGCTCCTGCCCCCCCCCCCCCTCCCTGTGAGCCCAGTGTGCTCTGATTGGTCGGGACGTTGAGAGGCTCGTTGCTGCGATCTGCTGCGAGGAGCGGAAGCCTGTCTGCTCCTCGCAGCAGATCGCAGCAACGAGCCTCTCGGCGATGCAGCGAGAACAAAATAAATTCATCCTGAGCACACACAAACACTCACAGCCGAAGTAAAAACAATAAGTGTGGCTTTATATTGAGTGAGAAAAAGGTTTATAACCAGGGGTGCACATCACTTTTTTGCCCTGGTTCTCAAAGGAGCACCTGGAGATGTTGCTTGGTGCGCATCCTTAAAATAAAAATAAAAACGGACCTTTTGAGGGGTTCTTGACTTTATGAACGGGGGGGGGAGGTGCGCTAGTGAGCACGCTCATGAACTGTTCGCTGTTGACTGTATGCCTCGCAGCAGGGTTACTGTGCGGAGCGCATAAAGCAGACCCTTCACGCGATAGCGAGGGGTAGAGCGAGGGATCACAGATGCCGTCGTGCTCGCGGACAGATTAAAACAATTAAACCTAAATGGCTCGTGAATTATACTTTGGCGGCCGTTAATATACCTGGGCGGCCCGCCCAAGTAAAGTCTATGTGTGGGAAACCCTGCTATCTTACCAGTTCTTATGCCACTCGCAAATATCTCTTCTCTCTTTTCTATCTCTCTCTTCTGTCTTTTCTCTCTCTTCTCTCTTTTCTCTCTCTCTCTCTCTCTCTCTCTCTCTCATCTCTCTCAATGTTGGTGCGCAAATGCGCCTTTTATCAAATGATCCGATGCTCTTTTTTGGCGGGGGGTGCGCACCTGTGCACCAGTTATGTGCAGCCCTGTTTATAACGCTGTGGGTCTGCGGAGAGCATTTCTCCGCGATCCCAACTTAGTAGCCCGAAAAACGTTTACCCATTTAAACAGTCGTGGTAGATACCTTGTTTGTTTTAAACATCGTAAATACACAAACAACAACGAATACTCACCTCTACTCACCGTTGGGTCACCAGACCCTCCTTTCATTACATTACATTACATTGCATTTAGCTGACGCTTTTATCCAAAGCGACTTACAATAAGTACATTCGACCAGGAAGACAAAACCTTGAAGAAAACAGAATCATATAAGTACATCAGGTTTCATAGAGCCAAACATTTCAAGTGCTACTCAACTGGCTTTAGGTAAGCCAGTCCTTTATTAGTATAAAAGTGCTTCGTTAATAGTTCTAACGCTCGAAGTGGAGTCGAAAGAGATGAGTTTTCAGTTTGCGCCGGAAGATGTGCAAGCTATCTGCCGTCCTGATGTCAATGGGGAGCTCATTCCACCATCTTGGAGCCAGGACAGCAAACCCACGTGTTTTCGCCGATGGGAACTTGGGTCCCCCTCGCAGCGAGGGCGCAACGAGTCGTTTGGCTGATGCAGAGCGTAGTGCACGCGCTGGGGTGTACGGTTTAACCATGTCCTGGATGTAGGAA